CCAGCCTCAGTGTTCGTGGCTAGTGCCGTAACCACTCTGCTATGGGCACTGAGCCAAGATTTTTCTTTTTTTTAATGACTCCTATATTTTCATCTAGCATTTTCAGGGTTTTACTTTCTATATTTAATTTTTTAATGTTTCAGAAACTTAATAGATGCTATTAGGTGTGTTGAGTGTTTTTTGCTGTGTTGTCTAGGCTAGCCTCAATCTCCTGGACTCAAGCAATCCTCCTGCCTCAGCCTCCTGAGTAGCTGACTAGGTGCCTGCCACTGAACCTGTCTGTGTAGCATTGTAATTTAATATATATTTTTTAACAAATTCGTGGTTAAACTCTCCTAATGCCACTTAGTATTTCATCCTTTCCTTCCTACCTTATTTGAAATGCCACTTATGTTAATATCCTGTACAAATTCCGTGATACTCTTAAGTATTATAGTTTTAAAATTTTTATTCTTTTCCAATGACTTCTTACCTATTCTTACATTCTTTTTGGTTTTCAATTTTTATTTATTTATTTATTTTTTTGAGACAGAGTCTCAAGCTGTTGCCCTGGGTAGAGTGCTGTGGTGGCATTGCTCACAGCAACCTCAAACTCTTGGGCTTAAGCAATCCTTTTGCCTCACCCTCCCAAGTAGCTAGGACTACAGGTGCCCGCCACAACCCCCGGCTATTTTTGGTTATAGTTGTCATTGTTGTTTGGTGGGCCCGGGCTGGATTTGAACCTGCCAGCTCTAGTGTATGTGGTTAGCGCCTTAGCTGCTTGAGCTATAAACACTGAGCCTGTTTTCAATTTTTTAAAAATTCTCATGGATTTTCATTAGAATCACTCTAAAGTGCTGAATTAATTTAGGGAGAATTGCTGGACCTTTCTGTCTGACCCATAGCAGGCAGGAAGGTTCAGCACATCTGTTATGTTCTTTAGTAACATCTATAACTTTATTTACATGGCTGTTATTCATATTGAATTGTTATGTACTAGTTTGTGTTTTAATTTTCATAATCTGCTGATTCTAAAATAGACCTTGTTCCATAATCTAATGTCTCTGAAATTGCAGTGTGCTTACAAGTAGTAGATAAGAAAGCATTGTGTTA